TTTTCTACAATTTTGTTTGTTCTTGCATGGCTGAATTGGATCATTCTGATAGTGTTTCCATTAATATTATCTCTGATGATGTTACCCCGGCTTTTTTTTGATCAAGGAATGAAAAAATAACAGAATTACCAATAACCGGCTGAAAATGGACACCGCGAAATTACAATCGAATTCATAGAAGACTAATTTTCCTGGCACAAAAGAAGGATTTTTTTGGAATCTTTAGAATACAGAGTTTTTCCGATAGGAGATGGTCCGGAACTTTGATAATTCTAAGTTCCAAACACTTCTAAAATTCGTAATTTTTCTGATTTGGGGCAAATCCCTTCACTAAGACCGGGTGCTATACCCTCCAGATAGCATAATATCCTCTTTGTTTTTTTTTTTGCTCGAGAAACTATTTTCAGCCTGATAAATGCATCCGTCAACTTGCCTTTTTTGATAGCCTAAATTGATAAATCTTGAATTTTGTAATTGCAGTGATTGACATTTTTAAATCGATCCTGAATAAGACTCTGTCACTATAGTATCTGCAAAGCAATTTTTCACAACTCTAACTCATGATAAACGTAAACTTTATTATCCTAAAATAACATACATACAAAAACTCAAATGTGGCATATCAACAAACTCAAGACAAGTATTGAATATACAGCATGATTTGCAGCAAATACATATCCCGTTGATGTTGTTGTACTTTCACTAGTAGTTGTAGGCTGGATTGGTGGTGTTGTCAAAGACGATGGCGGGAATGACGGTATTGACGATATATTGTTAGTTTTAGTAGCAGAAGTAAGAGTAACTTCAGTACTACTGGTGGTACTAGCAGTTACAATAGTACTGATAGTACTTGTTACAGTTGAAGGTCCCGCGATCGGAGTACTGTAGTTCGTCCCGCGTAGATAGTTGACAAAGAGTTGCAAAGCTTCTTTAGGCTTTTCATTAGTTGACGAAACAAAATGGCCGGCTCCACGTACAGTTAAGAAATCGAGGCCTAGAAAAGAAGAAGTTTTCAAAGAGTTATCAATATTTGCAAGGAAATTAAAACTTGTAGATTGGTTTGATATAAAAACTATCCATCATTAAGGCCCCAGGGAAAAGCACGAATATCAGAATTGTGGGTCAGTACTACAGATACTTGATTCTTACAAGAACTGGCTAAAGCCTTGATTTCAAAAATTTCAAATGGCTCTATATCAATAAATAAACATATGCTTTGTGTAGCTATGTGAGCTACCGTAGTCATTTTGGGCGGAATAAAAGGTCCAATTTCGAGTGTTGAATGATTTCTAATTTCATCCTAAGTTCTTTGATTCCAAACAAAATTAATAACTGCTTTGCTTGAATTTATGACTATTCATAATTTTTCTTCCTTCTGACTAAAACCCAGGTCCAAACTATAGGTCGTAACACATGAATTTCGCAGCACTTGAAGGGAAAAATTTTCACAACTTTTTCAAAGAAAATTTTCTCATGTTTCGTGGAGGTTGTAGCTCTCGAAATTTACATCTCACACATGAGCAATGCAGTTTTGCGTTTTCTGGAATTTTTTTGTAGAATTGCCTTCACTGCTTTCATTTATTCAGTGTAACCCATATCTGTGAAGGTGAAAATGATGACGATGGATAATCTTTGTCTACTCTTCATATTTACCAAATATTAGATTTTGCCCAAAAAGGTTAACAAAACCTTTGTTACACCTAATATTTCGCACCTCCACTCCTCCATCATTGCGCTCTCCTCCTAGCCAAAGAGCAATAAAACCTATTGCTGGTTGT